CTGAGTTATCTTACTTAACCTAGAGATACCTTAGCATCCTTCCAATTCAGACCAGAGAAACACAAAATGAACAATTGCAAATTGAACAATTGCAAAGTAGTTGTTATTGAAGATCTTAGGGAATCCGTTCTATCGATTTCTGTGATTGCTACTTTATTGTGTTTTCCAATTAGGAAATTATAAACTTGTCTTTTCCAATCAGGAAATTATAAACATGGAAAGCCGAAATATGATCCTGTTTATCCAACGCTGACGGTACGACCATTTCTGCTCTATGGAAAATGAATGTGTGGTTTTCAGCTTCCAGCAAGTCTGAAGGCGCGTTACCCAATAGATTGGCGAAATGGGGGAAGAGGGATGCTTTGCATTGCAATGGCCGCCCTTGAAGGAGTTCGTCGAATATGGGCACATCGCCAGTCAGTTCAGTGGCAGACTGGAGGCTACTGCTCGCCACGGTGTCTGCTTGCATGTTCGAAGTCGCACTGGAGAATATTTTGCGCGTGGAAGATCGCTGGTGCAGGATTTCAAGAGCACTTGGTTAAAATGGACGGGATGTTAAATGCATACAAAGGCCCACGCGAATACAGCGGATTTTGTCCGCCTGCGGGAGAAGCACGACGGAACTCGTAGGTTTGGTCACTTATGAATGCATGAAAACGTTCTCGTGAAGCATATCAACAGCTGGATTCAAATTCATTGTCTTTCCAGGAATTCCATTTTGTCTTTCCAATCCTTTGTTTCTGCAGAACGATTTCGGAAGGAGCCAAGTGGGACTATCGGGCTCTGCGTTACTCCTACATCAACAAAAACCCAAGCTACGAACAATTGCCAGTGACTGTTTCACGACATGAAAGCGATTATGCTTGAATCAAAAAGGCACAGATTGAGAAGTAGATGAAAATCCACAAAATTCAGGAGTGAAATCAGAAAAGTGGACCCAATTGGGACATTGGTCCAATAGATCTATTCAATGTCTCAATATCTACTGCGTTTTTTGGAGGGCTTCTTGTAATTTTGGCCACTTCTGAATTCGCTCAAATACATGTGGGGGAAGGAAGACGCCTTTCTTCGTGGGATTCCCTTGCCACAATTGTCGGACATCAACGAAGGGTTTTTTGTGAAGCTGAAGACGAAATATTCATAAAATCAGCTAGCTCATTTGGTTTTTTCACTTACTGTCCCAACACGAAGGCGAAGATCAGAGCTCAAATCCCATACCCATTCTTTACGCTCTGAATGAATGATGCATTAAGATCAAAGAGTGACAGACACACCTGCGATAAATTGTCCCTCGTCACTATTTGCAGCTGCTGTGGGAGTGACTGCCTGACTGCTTGGAGTAGTGCTTGGTGTAGTGCTTGGTGTAGTGCTTGGTGTAGTGCTTGGTGTGGCCTCATCTTTAACTTTTGCCTTCTTATTTGTGCTTCTTTCTGGACTTTCTAAACTTGGCGGAACCAACGAATTCACGATCTCCATCAGTGCACTCAAATCGCTGTTTCTGCGCGCCTTCATACCGGCTGAGCCTTCTGTTGGACTTCCTTCTTCCCGCTTCCGTTTCCTGGAGCCTTTTTCATCCCTGCAGTCTTTTTCTTCCTCTTTCTTTAGATTGGAATCCTTCTCCGCAAGTTTTCTAGCTTCCTTTTCCTTTCTCCGTTTCTCTTTGCGCTCTTTCTTTTCTCGAGCTCTTTTTTCTTCATCATCGTCATCATCCTCAAAATTGTTATGATTTTCTTCCTCTACCCCCAAGCGTCTCATCAGCTGGTTTCTTGCTTTTCTTTCCCATCCGCTGAACTGAAACAGGACTGATGCGCTGCTACTTCTGCATGTGCTGAATTTGTGGCATGAGAGACTTCCTTGCTGTTTGTTGAGAGTCGGAATAGTGGCAGTCTTTCTTGTTCTCTTAGTACATTGAATACGATCAATGATGAATAACTATGTTCAGATAAACATGATCAGTGCTTGAGTGTAGATGTATGGAATGGACTGATGAATTATACCACACTGCAAATAAACAATCAGAATATGTTGCAGCACAGGGAGAGGAAGTGTTTTCCTTTCGCTCTGCAATTCCTCCTTCTAACAGCTCAGAGTCTCCTGGCTAATCGCACTAAGAGCAGGTCAAGAAGAAGTGGGCACTCCAATCGAAATCTGGTGGTGTACAGTATCATCAATCAATCATCACATTCATCAACCATCATTCATTTATCAATGATCATTTATCAATTATCACATTCATAATGATGGTCCAATAGCATTCCAACTATCATATGGATTTGATAATATGAGTTGAGATGCCAATATCATGAGTCTAAGTTGAGATGATTACATCATGAGTAGAAGTTGAGACTGTGGAGAGTACAATTGACAGTCTCAACAACAATTGTCTCTATCAGAGCAATTCAGTGCCTTCAAGCGTGTTTTCCCATCAGAATGGACTTTATCTATTTATTGAGTGGTTTATCAAATCTAATAAATGTGGAAACGGCGAGACTCCACGAATTTGCTTCTAGACTTTTACTTTATCTTCATAGAGAGGTTTGCTTTTTTTGCGGTGGCGTCCATTTCCGTGCGATCCATCTTACATTGTAGTGTCCTCATACGTCGCGTGCAATATTATGAGTTCTCAGTTTTTGCGATGGTACAGGTCGTTCAATCGGTGTTGTTGCCTTCCACTGAGAGCTGGACTGGCACTCATTATGCTTCTAGGAATCTCCGTCAACAGCCTCGTCTTGGTGTTGCTCCCTTCTAGTCCGACAGAGATAGAATTCTTATTCGCGCGATCCGTTAATTATACTCTGACGACGACATTGCTAGCAGTTATGTTCAATCTTAATATTTTCATTATGATTTCAAACATCATTGGTCTCATCGGCACGGTCTGCAAACTTTCCAGTCTTCTTCTTTTCTCCTTCCTGCTTCTTATCGTTGGCGGTTTGACTTTCCTTGGGCTGTTTGCAGTTCAAGCAGTCTGGCTCTTCTACCCAACGGATATGCGGACTGTGCTGGGGATTTTATGCCTTTGGCTTGCGCAATGCTTCCTAACGATCTTGGGTCTCTTCTTCATTGGGGCGCTCATTTTCAGCTATCGGCAACGACTGAGCAAACGAAAGCCGCCAGCAAAACCGATTGAATCAGAAAGCATCAAAAAACAAGATCAGGTCGTTCTACTTTCACCACCAAGCTGGAACGACGAGTATTTGTAGACAAGCTGATCACGAAAGCATTTTCGATAAGAAGAACGCATGTCAAATGCAACAGTGCTTTGTGTTTGTTTTGGAGTACCACAACGCTGCTCAGGATATTGGAGCAACCGTCTTACAGCATAGTTGGGGTCTAGCTGAAGTCTAACAGATCGGGGGGAACACTCTTGACTCTCTCTCACTGAAATACAAGACAGACGACAACCTTTATTTTGACTGAACTCGCTATCTTCGTTGCTTTTTCTTTTCTCGGTCTTCTAACATTAACTTTTCCAAAACAGTTAACTGAAAAAAACAAGGTGTAAGATGAAAGTGCAGTGAGAGTGGAGTACCTTGCGCTTCCCATTCGATTGCTCATTCTTTCCCATTCTCTCGGTTGGCGCAGCCGAAGTAAGTCCCCGCTGCTAAGGGATTTGTTGGTGTGCTTGATGATGACAGGGGAGTCGTCAGTTTTGTCTAATTTCCTAAAATTGATTTTTTTGTTATCATCGGTCGATGGTATCACTTGAGAGGGAAGACTGAATTCGATGGGCTTTGATTCATCATCTCGTACGAAAGGTAACCGCTCTTCCTGTTTGATAAACACATAAGTTTAACAAATTTTTATACAATTTAAGACAAAAATGAATGTTGCTAAATCAACACATAACAACATGACTGTGCACAACTGTGGTCATTTTGTAACGTAGAGTCCAAGCCAAGACGTACCTCTGGAGGATTTTCACCTTCTATTTTCCTCTTTTCCTGCCACGCTGCTTCGACTTGGCGATTGAATTGACGTTCCCTTCTTTGTTCGGCTGTTAATTCAGCTTTGCGTTTAGCATCAGCATCTCTCTCCTTTCGAAGCTTTTCCTTGTCAATATATTCAAGAACAAAGCCTCGCTCTGACTTTTCGAGATGGACTTTGCCAGTGCGTTCCAAATACTACAAAAACAAAAATAAAAGGAAATAGACAAAACTCAGAAGGAAGATGAATCTCCTGGTTGCCATTCAATAAGACGTTGCCATTCAATAATAATAAATAATCGTAATCTTACGTTGCCATTCAATAATAACAAATAATCTTACAAGAACAAACTCCGATAAGGTTGACCAGATCGTCGCATTCATATGAACATGCTGTTTGTCAGAGATGACATCTTGATAGACCGTGTTTGCCAAGACTTTGGTACGACAATATCTACAAGCAAATCAAGACGAGAAGAGTCAATATCCAACAAATATGCACTATGAATAGCTGAGTATTCCAGCCTATAGCGATCTACAGCTGCTGTAACCCTATCGAATAACTCAAATCCGTAAATTCAAACCCCCCGGACTACTCCACCCCCTCTCATACCTGGTTCTCATCAGCTTCATGAATTCACCCTCAAAATCTTTTGAAAATTCATCCATGTATTTCCCAGCTCGTTGAGAAAAGACCTGCATTTGCCTTTGATGGGCCTCGGACATACAATGGCACTAAAAAGAGAGAGACATTGTAAGAACAAGTAACACCAGATGAATACCAAAATGCCAACAAGTGCACTCTGAGATTGCACAATTTCAACTACGAGCTCCCCCGCAACTTTCGTCTTACTTTGAAACCATTTTCATCTCTACACTGCTTTTCGCACATCTGGCAGTACCATCGCAGTCTTTGGAGCCCTTTTGACTTCATCTTATTCGCAACCCATTTCGGGGTGCCAACCTCGGCGCGAGGCATCTTATAATCAAATGAGCCCTATAAGCTCTTTTTCAATTTGGCGAGCTTTTTTTCAATTTGGCCAGCTTTTTTTCAATTTGGCGATTCTGTTATCTGAGATGGACCTCTAAATGCCCATTTTCTGCACGCTTTGAATCTTTGAAGCTGAATCATCCGACATTACATCGAATCCTCTCAATCAAGTCCCGTCCTATAAAAATTCTGGTCCTGGGAATTTTTACCTGCGCCAACTCCTCCTTGATCTTCTGGCTGAACCCACATAGTGAAGCCTGGTGTCTCAATCAAAGATCATTTTTGTTACAATTTTGACGGGTCTTGTTCCTTGCCCTTACTTCATCATTCCTCCATAGAAATCCTTCAGTGAGTCTCGGTGGCCGTCCCTCTTGTTGACTTCCAATTGCAGGCAGCATTTGTTTCAGCCTTCCCACTGCCCCCATGATTCCTGCTCAGCAAGTACCAGCGGGATACCCTCCCAACGCGCAGTCAGACTACCCCCTTGAGCACCCTCCACAACAGTCTTATTTCCCCCAAGCACAGTATCCACAACAGCATGCTTACCCCTCGAATGCATTCCAACAGCCGCTACAACAATCCGCTCCCCCAATACCCTGCTTCAGTTCAACCACACGCGCCCCCAGTATAGACATCAACTTTCAAATCAAGCTTCTCCCAAATACAGTCACCGAAGCCCTCCAATGCAGCCTCAACCTTTGGGACAACAGCCTCAATCTTTGGGACAGCAACCATTGCAATCAAACTTGGGACAACCATTACAATCAAATGTGGGGATACCCAACGGCGCAATCAGCCTTGGGCCAGCAACAGTTTCAACCAGCTTCAAGACAACAAACGTTTCAGCCCCCCTCGGGGCATTTACCCACACTCCCCCCCAGTGCTTCCCCACCGCAACAACAATTCCAAACAGATCGTCGCTTTAGTGCTTCTTCAAATCGGGCTCCAGATGCCGCCGTCGCTTCCCAAAAGTGGAAGCCAGGTGGTCAACTTCCAACCACTCAAGTGGGATCCCACCTGCAGGCGACTCCACCTACCGTTGTCACCAATGGGACCCCACAGCAACCGACAGTGAATGGAGGTTATTCACAACAGCAAACTCCACCGCGGGAGGAGGAGATTGACGAGCCCCAGCGTCCAGCTGCACCTCCTCAAATCAAAGTTGACACTTTGACAAAAAATACAAACAGTCGTATAGATCCATCTTTCGTTCCAAGGCCAATCCTTCCTACAGATCCGATTCAACAGCTTGGAGGAAAACGTTTCGAAACAGACAAATACACGATCCCACCCCCACCCTACGGCGTTTACACGATTATCGATAGGGGAAGCGCTTCTTGTAGATTCCTGAGAATATCGCTCAATCAGCTGCCAACGCTTGCTCAAACCCTCAAGAGCGCTGCCGTCCCGCTAGGTACGCCAAAACACCATGATACGTAAAGACTAAATTATTAAAAGGAATATTTTCTCCACCCTCTCATTGCTTCCCTTGATATTTCCACATTTGATTGAATGCTGCAAGCCTTTTTTTTCACTCTGCACACTTGCTTTGTTTGATTGTTAAAAAGAATATTTTCTCCACTAATTGCTTTGCTTGATTACTTGATTGTTTCCCTTGCAGTTGCTGTGGCTTTCCTGTTCTTGGAGATTTTGAGGATCCTATTCCCACTGTATGTTTGCAATTCAAACACTCCTGAATTCAGTTTCATTATGTTTAGGTGAATTTAAATCGCGGATCAGCTGTCGTGTCGGAGGAGTCGGAAACGGAAGGCCCTCTACGATGCTCGCGTTGCCATTCCTACATCTCACCCTTCATGACGTTTCCAGACGAGCTGACTGCAACTTGTAATTTTTGTGGATATACTTTCATCGTACGCGGACCTGATCGTTGTTCAGTGTGTTCAAGTGGCAGTGTTTATCTTTTGACGCGATCACTTTATGCAGTTTGTTCTAATCTTCATTGTCTTGTTTACTTCTTTCCAGATTTCCAAACATTATCAATACGCGCTCTCCGAATACACTCGTTTGCGTAATTCTGATTACAGTGAGAACTTCGACGATCCGGCACTTCGTCCCTTCGACCGTCTTGAAATTATCAATGGAGTCGTGGACTGGGCAGCCCCATCAGCGTTTCTTCAAGTCAATGGTTCAGCATCTGTGGAACGGCCTGCAGTGAAGAATGCGTTCTATCCCGGAGAACTGTGCCTTCCTCCTCCCGCGTTCTGCTTTGCAATAGATTCAAGTGCTTCAGCACAGCAAAGCGGTAAGAGACTTGTTGAAAATTTAACATTCCAAGAAGCCGATTTGTATTTTTTTAATGCATGGCTATCAATGATTATACCAGATAGCAGTCATCGAGAATCAATCCGTAATGATCGCGTTCCATTTTTTCTGTTGATGCCGTTGTAGGATTGACGTCGGCTGCTATTGGTGCCGTCAAATTTGCGTTGGGATTTATAACAAATCCAGCGACAAAAGTGTCTATTTTGACTTTTGACCAAGTGATCAAATTTTATCCAATTAGAAGAAAGCAGGAGAGAGATGAATCAAGTCATCAGCAGGTGTGTTTGATGATAAATGAGCATTTAGCATTTCAATTGGGTTTCTCGAATTGGGAGGCGAGATCATTTATGCACCGAAATGCCGTGAAATTCAAGCTGCTGAGACTGTGTCATGGCGTGACACAACGATCGCATGTAATGTCGATGTTGCAAGCCGTCTGGCACCAATGGGCGTGTTAGGGAATGGAATGCTTTGTGTCTTTATCTCTCTATGTCTCGGCATGTTTCCGATGACGGATTGCTGGACCGATAGGGAGATCTTTTCTGTCCTTTTAGATTCTCGTGGTAACAGACATTCAGGATCCCTTCTTCCCTGCCCATGCAAATTTGCTGTTTACAAACGTCACAGAGGCAAAAGAGGAGCTCGAAGAACTTCTTGATGAACTTCCACGCTTGCTGCATGCAGACGCGGCTTCAACCCTTCCGAGAACTCAATCTTGCGGAAATGCTGCGTTGCGTGCAGCAGCAAAGTTATTAGGGAGCAGGGGTGGAGGGGCCGTTAAAATTTTTTACGGAAGTTCCCCTGATATCGGTGGGACAACCGCATGAATAGACAGATGAATGCGTGTTGCTCCCTGATTCAGGTGTTGGTGCCGTGCAAAAGATGGATTTGGCGAGTGCGACGGCCCACAAAGACCGCATAAATAATCCGTTGCTGCCTGTTCAAAATCTTGTAAGAGATTGACGTCATGAAAAGATAATATCGAAATGATGTCATCAAATGATATTCATCATCAAGAGATATTCATCATCAAAAGATATTTTTTTTTTCAGTCAACATTCTATAGCGAGCTCGTTGCGGATTGTATCAACAGTGGTGTGGCCGTCGACACATTCATCGCAGCTCAGCCGAGTCGCCATATTGGAGTCTCAACGCTTGGATACGCGTCAAGAAGAACTGGAGGACTCTGCAATTATTATGGAAATTTTGATCTTAATCGGTGAGAGGCGTTCGTTAGAAAACAGCTTCTTTAGCTATTAGAGGGTTCTGTGTCTGAAATTGTCGTGTAGATTATTGTTTTTATTGCAGGAGTTATCAACGTCTCTGTATGGACTTGTCGCGGCAGTTGCAACTTCCACAAGGGTACGATTGCATTTTCAAAATTCGATCTTCAAGAGGATTCGCCATATCCAAAACTTTCGTTTCTGCTTCGATGGGAGTGAAGGACACTCGAACTGAATTTCCTGATCCAAGTCAAATACGTTTGCCCCGAATTGATGCGGACCATTCTCTGATGTTCGAGCTGAAGCATGATGGAGAGTAAGTTTTTCATCCCATGCACTCTCTATTCCTTATGCTGTGGGATGCGTTAGGGTGCCAGAGGAATGCCGTGCAGCGTATGTACAGTTCGCTGTACTGCATACGACAATGTCGGGAGTTCGACGGATAAGAGTTGCAACAATAGCGGTTGCTGTCACAAACTCATTAAGTACAACATTCAGAGATACAGTGAAGTGGAATCCGTGTTGGCGTATTTTGTTAGGTGAGAAGAACCCATTCATATAATTCTATAAATTCTTGCATTAAGGCACAATGTTGCTGATCAATATTGTTTCGCTTGTTGTGCTTCTGTTTTACTTTGGGACATCATCTTCAGAAAAACTGTCAATATGATCATCTCGACTCCTGGATCAAAATATCGAGAGGAGGTCGTGAAGGAGCTTGTTGAGATTCTGTTTGCCTACCGTCTTAATGTATGGGATATTGTCGTCGATGCATCGTCATCGTTCAGATTTAAGAAAATAAAATAAAAAATATCCAGGTTCATGAAATCAGAGATCCATGTCTCATTCGTCTTTCTTTTTTCTCTTAGTGTGCTGCTACGACGTCTGCCGGTCAATTGATCCTCCCTGACGCTCTGAAGGCACTTCCCGTCTACATTTCTGGATTGTTCAAAATCCCGCATTAAGAGGCGCGACGGAATTATTTGGGGATGAGAAGGATTTCCTGCTAACGCGTTTGATCACGATGCCACTACACCAACTTATTCTGAGTGTTTATCCTCGGTTGTATATTCTGCACAGAAGCTACACTCAGATCAAGGGCGAAAAACTTCAGAGGGTAAGAGGACGCAGAACTCACAACAAGTCATTGTATCACTGTTATCGTTCGGTTACGTTTAAAAAAAGTTCTACTTCTTGATACGGTGACTGAGCGCGTGTCCAATCATCGCGTCTTGTTCGAATCTAGTTCTTGATGCGGTGGTGTTTCTAGTTCTTGATACGGTGTTTTTTGGCAGATTGGAGCAGATACGGGATTGGACAATGAAGTGTATTTGCCTTCCATAGCAGCGACGGTGGAGAAAAAATTACAACAGATGGGTTGTATCTGCTTGACAATGGGCTCTCGTTTATGCTTTATGTCGGGAGTGAAGTTTCTCCTAGCGTATTGCAGGACGTGTTTGGGACATCAGAGTTGAATGTATC